TGGAGGAAGAGAAGACAAAACTGGAGAACAAAAATAAAGAAATTGAGCAAGAGAAGAAAAAACTGGAGGACAGAAATAAAGACATGGAGGAAGAGAAGGAAATGGTAGAAGACAAATATACAGCGCTTGAGCAGAAGCATAAAGAAGTCCAGGACAGGAGCACAGAAATGCTTCAGGAGAAGATCCAACACCTGCAAAACTATGAAGAGCTTGAGAGGATTCACAAAGAACTGCAAAGCAGAAACAGTGAAATCCAGGAGGATCAGAAAAGGCAGAAACAAGAGGAGCTTGAACAAAAGGGCAAAGAAGAGGATGAAAAATTTGACAAACTGCAGGAAGATTTTGAGAAGATTCAAGCAGACAATGAAAACCTCAAAGAAAATAACACACAGGAGATGAAAAACGATGAGTTGCAGGTGCAAGAAAAGAAAAAGAAAAAAGGATCCAGCTTTTTCAAGAGGAAGTCAAGCAAGAAAGAGGAAAAACCAAAACAAGACCAGGAAAGTGTAGAGAAAGAAGAAAAGGTAGAAAAGATAAACGGCAAAGTAGAAGAAAAAGCAAAAGGAAAGAAGAAGACAGGCTGCTGGAGCTGGTTTTTCAGGAGTAAGAAACGTTCTGGTGAGATGAGAGTGGAAGAGGCTGCTGAGTCTGGACAAGTGTAGGAGGTTCTCCATTTCATTAATTCACATCTCCACCCGGATCCTCCCTGCACCTCCCTCTACCCTTTGTCTACCCCCTTCTTCCCTCCTTCTCCCCCTACCCCTGCAACCTCCATTTGCCATGTCCATCGACAGGTCTTTCTATGTGAAGATCTGTTTTCTCTGTATCATAATAAAAAATAAAGTTGAACAAAATCAGAACTAAATAAGCATTTCATTTTATGAGAAAGCACAATTATACAACCTGTTTCTCTATAAACTAAAAACCAGTGGATAAACAGACTAATGAATAGGTAATAAAACTTGTTAAATATGACTGTGACTCCCCTTGAAACCTGTTAAAGAAACATAAGTATTTAGCTTTCAGGAGGTAGAAATGCTGCCACCTTCTGGGGAATTTTAAGGATGGTGTACGTTGTAGACCTTTCAGCTGTGCATAAAATCACAGAAAAATATACGGTCACACCACACAAAAATGAGAGTCTGTCTTTAGCTGTGTACTTCTATCTATAAATTAGCCTTCTTGTTATTTTAATGATCATAAATTGTTTGGGATGCTGTTTAAATTACACAGACACCAGGGAGCTGATACAGCAAGACTAGTGAAAACTGAGTATAATAAATTAAACTAGAAAACGAAAATTTCAGAAGAAATTTTAAGCGTGCCTATGCTGCTGCCAATGAGTGTAGTTTGTGTTAGTAAAGAGCAACTTGTACTTCTGTGCCATGAAGCGATGGTTTAACAAATTTCACTGCACACTAAAAGGAATCTGGATTTAAATATAACATAGTACTGTTGGATTAAGTGTAGGAAACACTAGTATAAGGTGTCTATGGAACAAATCTCCTTCAACATTCATAATGACCAAAGTGAGGACAAAGTGAGGATCAGTCAGCTGATTGTGTTTAAGGTAAAAGCATCTATAGACACTGAGATTGCTCCACATTTTAGTGAGATAACTCCAGATGTCTGTGGGTTTTGTCAACTTTGGGTGAACAAAAGCAGAAAAATGGTAAAAGATTCAGACATTGAAAGTCTGGTTTATTTCATGAATACAATGAAACATTTTACAGTCCACAGAGCAAAGTAGCATACATGATAATGGATACTACAACATAACACGGACAGCGAGAAGCAAAACTCATTGTCTTACCAGCTGTTATATTCTTTAAACTTGAAATAAACCTTTGAAATTAGAGTTTAGTCTTTTAAGTCATCTATTTAAAAAAAAAAAAGAGTCAACACTTGTTTCTCTCAGCAGCATTACTGAAGTGACACTTTAACGATGCTTCATATCACAGTCTTTATGATGAAAAAACATGTTCTCTCATTAGCAGATGTAGCAGAATACATTTATTGCAGTGTATGAGCTACACTTCTTGTAAAAAAAATTATTTTTTTTTAAAAAGCTGATTGGAAATGCATTCCAGCTTTTTGGATTTTCACTCTTTGATGGATTTAATATGAACAGCCACATAAAATTAATTCCAATTTTTTGCCTTTGCTTCAATTAAGATGTGTCTTTAAAGCTACGATACCTTTCTTGTTCAAAAAGTTTACTGACACAGTAAAGACGTAGCTAGGGAACTCAGTAAGTATGAGCAGCAATAGCTTAGGGACACTTTCTCAAATAAAGAGGATTTCATCATCTGCAGTTCGTGAAAAAAGTGCCACATTAAAAACAAATCCGCAGATCCGCAAATTATGGATACAGACTCTTTTCAGTTATTGAGGTATACTTATGCAGTTTAAAGGCTTGCATTAGAGTGCATTGGTGTCCAGTTGGGCATCTTTTATGGTTATACCACTGTGAATTTTGCTATATAAATGTCAGGGGTAGACATTTGTTCTATCACAAGTAAGAGAAATAAGACACTGCAGACCAACTCAGAGAGTTTTAAGAACGTGCGCACGGGTGAATGTCCCTGAGAAGACACACACACCGATTGCAGGCTTGCTTGCTTTATTTATAGGGCAAAGCAGGTTACATAGTACTTCCTCTTCTGTTAGAAGTCGGGGAGAGGTTAGACGTTAGCTCAGCGCTTATCTGACCTCACACCCACACACACTCTGAAATAACGAATACAGAAATATATCATGCTTATCTGACATCTCACACACTGAAGTAAGGAATACATCATGTTCTCTTTAACAATAAGCTTGGTTATGTTGAAATATATGAACACTTGAATATAAGGCACACTTGATTATATTGTATTATGTAAAAAATCTTCTTACAATAAATATGCTCAAGACTCTATCATATGTTTGACATCCAGCTAAAAATTCGAAAATATATATTTTTAAATCAGTAACTTTGCAAATTTAGAGGAAATGTTTTTTGGACAACAAATTAGTCACATTTTAAAAACAGTTTGAATAATCTGCGCTGACAGACAGACATTTATGAAGCGCCGGCTATAACACACATGCTTACCGTGTGAAAGGACCGCGGATGTCTTGGAGCAGAGAACCGCGTTGTATTGTTGCTTTTCTCTTAAGCAACGCCAGCCAGTCAGAAACGCTCTGTGTGGGTAGAAAATGGTCTGCACCGGCGCTGGTCCTGACGCGAAATGGCGAGGGTCTCACTCTTTGAGTAACGCTTCATATAGGACCGGGGGGCTTCCAAAAACAATAGATGGTGGGCCGATAAGTCTGGGGGCGATACACCTGCAGGGCATCACCTTGCTGTGCAAGTTTAAAACAATGAGGGTGGGGCACGCAGTTGCTGAGCTCCGGTGTAATTTGCCAAGATAGGTCTGGACTTCAGACTTCAGAAAATAGGCGATACCCTGCTCGACTGGTACATCTGCAGGGCTTTTACCTTGTCGAGGAATTATAAAAAGAGCCGATACCGGCCACCTTAAACAATAGGTCGGTCCCCGCTTTTACACCTGTCGGCTTTTACCTTTTCCTAAGGAATCCCAACAATTAAATGATACCCACGGTGGGCTTTTGCGTTCCTGAACAAATTCAAAAAATTAACCAGCTGCTGAAAGACGGATGGGGCTTGCGAGACTGGTTTTAGAAGTATCACTGCAGCATTTATTTCTAAAGGGGCTGAATGTTATTTGTGACCACCTATTGCATTAAAAACTAGCAGCCTCTGTCTCCCTCTTGGATTAACATTCCGAAATCCCGATTTTTAAATAAAATGATCGCATCAACCCGTGAAAGAAACCCCAGTGGATGCATATAAAAACTAGTTAAATTAAAACTAGCGGTTTGATTAACACTTGTGAACAGTCATGAAGGCTGAAATGACCCGTATAGAAGAAATTCCCGCTTGTGCCGTTTTTTAAATAAATAAATAAAATGCTTGCATTGCTGCATGCTGTGACATCAGAATCACAAAATGAGTGTGATTAAAACTAGAGA